CGTACTCATCACTCATCTCTACTAGAGCTGTGCCCGGGACGCTCTTCATGAACTTCACCTGCACACACACACACACACACATTTATTCATGGAGACTTTCCACAGACTTTAACCACAGCTAGTTATAAACAGTGTTGGGGAAAGTTACTTTTAAGAGTAATGCATTACAATTACATCACATTTAGTTTTTTTAATAATAAAAAACTCTGCTATTTTGTTGTAAATTTAAAAAGTAATGTGTTACTTTACTAGTTAATTGAAAAAGTAATCTGATTACATAACTCATGTACTTTACCCCCAACGCTGCTTATAAATACTCTAATCTAACCCTAATCCACACAATAACCCTAACAGAAAACTTTTAGCATTTATACACTTAAAATAAAACTTATTTACTTTATTTCTATACTGTTTTTACAAATAAAAGTTTTGTCAGATTAAACTCACGTACAAATTTGTCCCCAAAAGATGTTTAAGTGCAAACACCCAAAATTTTTATATTAGTTCATTACTTGCAATAAAATAAACTTTAACTGAAATAAAAATAAAATATAAAAAAGATAACTTAATTCAGCAATTGGCCAAATCAACATATCTAATAAAAAATTATTAAAACTATGTAGTCATAAAAAATAAAAACTTATAAAAATGGCAAAAACACACAACAAAATTTCTTTAAAATAAAAAAAAGGAAAATACAAAAATAAAAACTAACAGAAATGACAAAAACACAAAAAAATTACTTAAACTTAAATGGAAAATATAAAAAATAAAAACCGACAAAAAAAACAAAAAGCTTTAAAATTAAAATGAAAACAGATAATATGAAAAACAATGATAGTACCTCAATTACACTAGAGTAACACTAGTACACACACTACAGCACTACTCACACTGCAGCACATCAGTGCAGTATGCTCACTGTGCAGTGCATGTCAGTCATCTGCTCTGAACTCGCTTTACCTTCTCGATGTTTCCATAGAGACAGAAGAGGTTGAAGATGCGAGTGCAGTTCATCTTGGCGGGATGCAGGCCGCTCACCATGGCGACGGAGCTGGAGGCGTGGCTCATGTATGAGGATGTCTGGGGCAGCGGATACGCCACCACCTCCGGGACATCATGAGAGCCGCGCTTGAAGCGGTTATTACCAGGCAGCGGCAGCAGGGGGCAGTGAGAGCCTGCACACACACACACACACAGACTGTTATCTAACACTTCAGGCCTTAATAAACCTATCAAACGTTGTATTATAATATACTGCTTTGGTTGTTTGTTTAAATCAGTGTCATGATGAGAGACTGACCGTATCCGTTATCGCTGTATGAGGACGGATGTTCTCCCAGGATGGCCTGCCGCTGTCGGCCTTTACCGCGCTCTACAGGAAAACACATGAAACACACAGACTGTAAATGCACCCACATTTACACCGGTAAAACATTCACTTTGAGAACACAACAGACACACATGATCCTGAAGACAATGAAGATCTGTTTAATATCATTAACATCCCTCACTTCACACGAAAGAATGTGTGTGTGTGTGTGTGTGTGTCTGCATCAATCATAATAGTCATTTGTTTTGATATATATATATATATATACTAATATATAATATATATATATAATGTATACAGGTATATATAATTTTTTTTCTTTGAATCCACATTAATAAAAAAGTAAAAAATACAATACTAAGAAACACTGGTGTATAAACTATTTTTACTCAGAAATTGCTAGTAAATTACAAAATGAATTACAAAGAAATAGTCAGTGAATTTTTTTAAACATTTTGCATTTTTTCATTTTTATAAACTTTTACAAATTTTGAAGAAAACAACAATTTTGAAAAATATTTTTACAGTGAACCAGATTATTAAATACTAACCAAAAACATACTGAAATTTAGATAATTAAATATAATTAAAATATTTTTTCTGCATAAGAAAGTGTTGTAATGAGAATTTGAGGTTAAATGTGCTTCATTGTCATGAAAATAATGCCAAAATGCAAAACATCTTGAAGAAAACTAAGTCTTTTTAAAGACCATTACTGTATGTCAAATTTAATTCTGCATTTCTGTAGCTCAAACAGCAGAGCATTGTGCTCACAACACCAAGATCCGGGGTTTGATTCCCAATAAATGCATGAAGTGATTCAATGCAATGTAAATCAGTTTGGATAAAAGCATCTGCCAAATGCATAAAAGTAAATGCAATTTCTTTTTCTGATTTTGGGTGAATATGAATGTGACATGTTCTATCTGAAAATAAAAGCAGTTGACTAAAAACCATTTGCAATATTACATTCACTTTCACGTGTCACTGAACCAAACGAAACAGACAAGCTGCTGGACGCCTCGTAAAGGTGAAAGATGGAAATAAAAGCCATTACAAATCACAGAAACTCTCCTGTACATACTGAGAGACAGACACAGACAGAGAGAGATGGGCAGAAATAAAAGGCTTTGTAAATTAGGTTGTATTCAAACATAATCCTCTTTAAATGAAGCAGAAAAACAGACAATCAAACATTCAGAAGAAAAAACACTCCCAAGTGCTTTTTATAGCCAAAGAAGCTTAAACAGAGACGGAGTTAGAGAATCACTGGAAACACGTTAAACACACGTCAGAGATCACACACACACACATGCGTGAATAAGAGCATGTTTGTGTGTGTGGACTGAATCAGGCAGACGTGAGGAGTGGAGGAGGAACAGGCGTGTGTCTCTGTCTCTGTCGGCCTGCGAGAGGAACTCATGCACAGTCGTGCTAATTGCTACAAAATGAGCAGTTAGCGGCAGGAAGTGTTTGGCACGGCTGGGCTCCGTCTTCAGAGAAGCAGCTCAATGTGACCTTCAGCCATCAGCTGAGCCTCCTCACATACTGACAGCAGAAATATCACACACGGATGAGGACATAAACACGGAGGAGCTGCACATTCAGCCAAACAGATGGAGATCAGACTGCAAAATACAGCCTGAAACTCTTAAAACACTCACTCAATTTCTATTTGGTTTGCCATTTTTGTAAATAAATATATGGGACATTTTAGCAATAAAAATTACATCAACATTTATAAATATAAAAAATATTTTTATTTATTTAAAAATTAAAAAATAAATATAATTGCAAGTGAACAGACCGCAAATTAGTATTTTAAAAAATTGTGTACAATTTGAAAAGTTCTGAAAAAAAGGGTCCAAATTATGTCATGTTACAATTTTTGGAAATTAATGTGAAAACAGGGTTGCATGCAAAATATAGGACACAGATAAATATTACATTTCTGGTTATTAGAATTTTAAAATGTGTTTGTTTTTTAGCTAATTTATTTATAGTAGTTTTTTTCCACATTAAAATTCAATATATTATGTCAACACTGTATAATTTTAGTAATTAAAAATAATTTTCATGTTAGACAGTAAAATATGAAACACGTCTGTTGTTTCTCTCGAGCGTCTTTAATACTTTAAGGCAAGACACTACAGATGAATATGGTTAAAATGTAAACTAACAGATATCATCATACTTCAGTTGATTAATCACAGCAAATCCAGACAATTGTATTGTATTACAACTTTTCTAAAATGTTATGTTTGAATATACAAACAAGGCATTGTTTAATTATATATGCACTCATTTGCATAGATGTACTGCAATAGATGTAGTACAACTATAAACACTTGAATGTGTATTTTGGGTGTTTTCTTTCCACTTCCTCATACATATCTTTAAATAAGATAATTCATATCTTTTAAACAGTTTTTTCTCCACTTCAGCAGCTCTTACATACAGCAAACTTATTCCTATCTATATTCTGAAGAATTTTACAGAGGGGATTTTGGATTGATCTTTTTATCACTCCATGAATCAGAAAATACTGTCAACAGACAGCAAAACTTTTTTAGGAGTAAAATGTTGTATAGTTTGTAAGTGCTGCTGAAGTGGAGGAGAAAACTTTTAAAGAAATATAACGCAATTGAAATCTACAAACGCAAATAGATAAAGTGCAACAAAATAAACCCTTAAATGTGTATTTTGGGTGTTTTCTTTCCACTAGTCTGAAATGTTATGGAAGCAAAATAGACTAAAATCTCAAAATTGACCAGAACATTAAAAAACACTGGTTTTGTCTGTAGCGTCTCACCCTTATTACTCTTTATCTATTTGCGTCTGTAGTTTTCAATCCAAATCCATATCTTTAAAGAGTTTTTTCTCCACTTCTGCAGCACTCACATACACCAAACTTTACAGTTTTATTACCATCTATATTCTGAAGGTTTTTACTGAGGGGTTTTTGGATTTCTCTTTTTATGACTCCATAAATCAGAAAATACTGTCAACAGACAAAAAAAAAAACATTTTCACCATGTTTTATGAATAAAATGTTGTATAAATCAGTGTGATTGATATATGAACAAACCCCTCAGTAAAAACCTTCAGAATATAGAGAGGAATAAAACTGTAAAGCTTGGTGTATGTAAGTGCTGCTGAAGTGGAGAAAAAACTTTTAAAGATATGGATTGTAATTGAATGTACAGACGCAAATAGATAAAGTGCAACAAAATAAATGCTTAAATGTGTATTTTGGATGTTTTCCTTCCACTAGTCTAAAAGAAGACATATTATTCGACTAAATTTGATCAATGCATGAAAAAACAATGTCATATAGCATCTCAGCTTAAAAAAGTCATGTTAATATTCATCATTTGGTCTAAACCTACAGCTGAGAGCGATCAGGCTCCACGTGTCTGAAGGAGATCTGAGCTTCTGTCATCACATTTCTAATTCTACAAAGTGCTGACGGAAAGTACAGAGAGAATGAAGAGAGGAAGAGACGTTTAACACAGAGGTACTGAAGAGTGTTCATTAATATTCTGTGATGAATGTCTTCACATTAGCGTGTGAGTTCAGCTCGCGCTCTTATCTTCAGTCAATAATGAAGCAGCACTGAGAAACACTGAGCAGCCCTTCAGTCTGGAGCCGATCGATGGCTGAACGCTGCTGTTCGCCGCTGATAACACTGTTTACACCGCGTTTGAGCTGCTGTCCGGCTAACACACGCACACGCGTGACTAAAGCGCTTCCCTCCAGACGCCTGAGCACCACACTGCATTATGGGCTGTCTGTTCCTGGACGACACTGGAAGAACCTCCCACAAGACCCTAGCAACCGGTGAAACCCGCACACACACATGATGTGGGAGTTTGAGCTGAAACATGTGATGCTCAGGGTGAATCCCTGCAGGTAAATCACACTCAAGCTTCATACACCCACATCTGACACAGCAAAACAACCTGACGAGATATTACAAAGATCAGAGATTCTTCAGCATAAAACAAACATACATCAGATGCAAAACCTGCAATCAAAATCACATGAACTAACCAGAAGAGCTGGGATTGTGAAAAACACACAATCACACCAGATCTGCCATTTCTCATAGACAGTACAGATATTCAGTGAGATCTAAACAACTTCTCAGACCATCTGAAGTCTGCAATCACATCAAAGATCTCCATATAAACTCCAACATTTCTTATCAAATGATCTGCGTTGCTGTTCACACTAATTATAGAGATCTAAATCAATCAGGGGCCTCGGCACACTTACAAGATGACTGAACATGATCTAAAACAAGACAAAATAAGCTTTAAAATAAACTAATAGACTAAAATAGATTCAAAATTCAAGACGAAAAATAAATTTTTCTTTTCCAATATCTTAAGAACTATATATATAAAATACATTATGATAATAATACATTTTATATCTTAAGAACAATACAGTATATATATATAATTTATTTTTTAACTAAAAAAAATATACAGTGGAGAAGTAATTTAGATTTGTTATTGAACTCTGAAGAACATTCAGTTCTTTTTTCTGCATGGATTCAAATGTGATAGACATCATATTTTTATAGATTTGATTTATTTATTTTATATTAATTTTTTTATGTTTTATATAAAATATTAATAAAATATTTAAAAAGTAATGGAAAATAATATAATCTTTAAAATGCATGGACATTTCTATAACAAATATACATTTATCTAGTTATGTCAATCTCTAAATATATGTTCTTGAGTAGAAATTGCCATTTGTGAGTTAATCACAAACAAGTGGAGAAGTCACATTCTGAACGCTGAAGAACATTTAGTTACAAAAATAATTCCAAATTAATCATTTAAATTTAAATATAATTATTTTATTTAATTATTTATATATACTGACAGTTTCCTAGTTTTTGTAAATAAAACAGTCTGAAAACAAGCAGTCAAAGTGTTTCAGATTAAACTCTGAACTGCATGACAACCAGTGACTCATTTGGGTCTGTTTTCATTCCTTCTCCTGAAAGTCTCCTAAAGAGCAACCAGTGAGAAACACACACTATCTCACACACCCACACACACACACACAC